ACTTTAATTCACTTCGTGAGATGGGATCTATGAGTTCAAGAAGTCATATTCCTTGGAGGAATGAGTTGGCCTTGGTAATAACTGAACCGACAAAACGCAATGGGTCGAAGAATCGAGCAATAGTTGAAAGAGTTTCACTCTTCGCAAAACTGTCATACAGTAGGGAGAAAATTTAAAATTAAAACAATCTGACTAAGGTATCCATAATAGACCATCTTCGATTTTACTGCCATTTAACAAGACGGGATGGCTGGAAACCCATTTAAGTAACTCCATAGCTCCTCTAGATTAGAGGTTTTTTTAGTTCAATCTGCAAGTTTCTTGTTTCTTCTAAGTTAGCTGACCTTGACAAAATGTCAACGTGTATGTCATTCACTAATTAGTACATGAGATGCCTGACGAAACTTCTCTTGTTCATTTTCAGCCAATGCTCGCAGCGTTCTAGTTGCTAAAAATGGAGAACATGATGCTCTGTAAGTTACTGTTTTCAGGCTATGCAGCTATGACCAACAAGCTCAAAAAGTTTTGTTTCGAGAATCATTCATAAAAAAGGGGGGACCAAAATATTCAAGAAACTTTACAAATTCTTGTCAGAAATTAGCTTTAGTTCAAAAACGGAATCAAAGAATCCAGGAGTGGTTCAAACATAACTTACCCAAACGAAGTGAGGACAGTTGGATTTCAGATCCTATCATTAAAAAATACTTTAAAACAGCCTCAAAATTAACATTATCTGAAAAAGAACACCTTATACTTCTTTAACTTCATTAATTGCAATTTATTTATTTCCCGGTCTTAAAATAAAGCATTGCATGATATATTGCGAGAATACTAAAGTGGTGTCAGGAGGTTTATAGGTTCTGAAAGAAGAACTTTAGGGTACTTTATAATTATAGTTTGTCTCTTTTAAGTGGTATGCGAAATAATTAAGTCTCATCACGGAATACGCGAAAGAAAAAAGATCGGGAACTGCTATCTAGATGATTGTTAATATTGGAAACATTTAAGAAAATTAAAAGAAAGTGACAATTAAATTAAATAATTAAAGTGCGTTAAAAATCTAAAACTAATTTTTTTAATTAAAATTTTTTTTGAAATTTAATTAATCATCAAGATATAATCTGCAGAGACGTGACCCTAAAATAAATATATAAATACAGTAAATATTTTAAAAGGCTAAAAAACAATTCTTGAGTAAGAAACTGGAAAAAAACATAGGGTAAACCACACGCTAACTGCTAAAATTACTAATGAGACACATTCCGATGACCTCAGAGATCACATAAGTTACGTATAGCTAATGTAAACAAACAATGTAGATGACCTCAGAGATCACGTGACATATGTATAGCTAATGTAAACAAACAATCCTCCTCTTCTACTCTTGCGAAACGTATCTCATTAAGTTTCCGAGCAAGAAACCTGAATAAATATTCGGTAAACCAACCGCGATGCTCTAAAAACAAAAATAAAAATGATTACTATATGGTAAATCAAGAGCAATATGCTAAACAAATATTAAAATTATTTCATAAATTAATGAAATTTCGAACCAAAGAAAAGCAGAACTACTAAAAAAACTTTACAAATCAAAACTTCTACAAATAAAACCTAAAAATACTTAAGTCAGAATAATGAGGAAATGAATTTCAGAATAATTTAATTAAAAATAAATTAAGTAAGAATTAAAAATAATAATTAATACATAAGAATTCCCGGCTGGGGAATAAAACCATAAAATGGAGAGGAAGGTAAGGAACAATAAGAAAAAGTAAAAAGAGTAAAATGAAAGGAAGAATAAGAAACAGAAATTTAACGAAATTTCTTATTGTTCCTTTTAGGAGTAAAAAAAAAAAATTAAAAAAAACCATGCCTGAAATTGAGAAAAACAATATAAAACTGAAGTAATAAATTCAAATAAATTAATTTGAATGTAATTAGAAAAAAAAAATGAATAAAGTAAAACATCTTAGTCTGTCTTTAAAATCTCGAGAATTTATCTCAAAGAATAGTCGAGTTGAGCTGCAACTGGGAACATGGAAATAATAAAATGGATGAACTTAGTTGAGGTGCAAAAATTTTTTAGTTCAGAAAATGAAAATATAGTATAAAATTGGGAATAAAATTGGTATTAATTTCGTAAAATAAAATAAATTAATTAAAAATGTCTGGTGTAAAATTGTCATTAATTTCGTGTAATTAAACAAATGCAAACACACTCAGCAAAAAATACATATTAAAAATATAAAAGTTGGAAAAGAAATTTGAAAAAATTATAAATTAATTTAATTAGTAGAAGTAAATTAATTTTAAGTGTATTAAAATTTTTCTTCCGCAATTTAATTTTTATTTATTATTATCTCTTGATTTTACATGTATATCTATATTTATATTTTATATAGATAGATACTATTATATATTTATGATTCCTTGAGAATTCGGTCTGCAGCAGGAAAATATGAATAAGCTAAAATGTATTTTATAATTTTAATATGATTTGTAAATTCATATTAAATAAATTAATTTTTTTCCTCAAAATAGTATCAGATCGTCTTAACTTTCGCTTCATGTTTTTTAAATTTAACAGGTTTCTTCTAATACAGTTTTAGAAATTTCCTAGGACGGTTAAATCTACTTTTACTAAATTATTAATTTAAAGTTTTAGGAACTTTAAACGTAAAATGAAACGATAGTTAAAAAAAGTAAACACTTTTTTTAAACAAAAGACAGAAACTTAACATTCACCATTTGCTTTTATTTTGTTATTTAGCTACTTAGTCAAACCACCTTGAGCGAACACTCCCCTTTAACAAGTATTTACCATTAGTGATAGCTCCTAAATCCCTGGACCCTTAAAGCAGAAAACCAGTGGATTCCCATTTAGCGATATTCCTTGATAATGGACAAAAGCTTTTATCCCGTGAAAGTCCGCAAACGTGCGGGCATTTACAGAATACCTACCATATTTCACTTGGGCCCGCCAGCGGGCCGAGCGGAACACTGGTAGTACGCTGAACACTGGTAGTTCGGTCCGAGTTTCGAATCCCGCGAACGGGCTGGCTGCATGGGCGTTTTCGTGGTTTTCCCCGTGTATAACGTGTATACTAGCCAGTTTCCCTTAGAAAGTCCTCCACGAAGGCACCCCTCCCTTTAGGCAGATAGCCCTCGTGTGCTTTGCCATAATTGAATAATCCCAATCCCATACTTCACTTAAATGCATCTACCCTATTTCAGTTAAATTACCATATTTATTTAATTACGATTTATTTATGAATTACAGAAACTGTGTTATTTTGTCTATTTATTATTGTTCATCATATCTGATGATATGTAACAAGACTCCGGCCCTTTTAATTTTAAAAATTAAATTCTAAATGAGGCAAATAATAACAAAGCATTAGGAATAGATATTGCATGAAATGTATTATAGTACTATAAGATACTATGAATAATCAAACGCTTTAACGGTAATATTTATTGTACATTTGATTTCCAGTTTGCTATACACTAATCACAAATTTAATTTCCTCTAAATCGTTATACCGAAAACAGCGCCTTAAAGTTATATTCATCTTAAAATTAAGCAAAAAATTCTGAATTTTTATCTGCTTGAAATTTTATAGAATGTAGGATTTAAACTAAATATTATATTTTCCAAAATACATTTATTTCAGATTATAACTTAGTTCCATTCGTACTTCTAAATTTAATGTTTAATTAATGATTAAATAACTTACTTTAATTTAAACTAAAATAAACAAATTATGAAAACTTTCTAAGTTTTCAACGAAAAGGGGAGAAAAATGAAATTTATATTCATTTTCCATCTGAAATAAACGGTTTGGTATATGTAAAACATTTTTATTAGAAGTTAAATATATTGACAGCTAAATATTAAATTTTTCGAAAGACACTTATTTCAAATTCTAACTTAATTCTATTCTTATTTCTAAATTTATTATTTCAAATTCTAACTTAATTCTATTCTTATTTCTAAATTTATTATTTTAAATTCTAACTTAATTCTATTCTTATTTCTAAATTTAATGTTTAATTAATCATTAAATAGCTTACTTTAATTTAAACTAAAATAAACAAATTATGAAAACTTTCCAAGTGGGACAAAACTTAAGAATAAATAACGACATTTTAATCTCTCTTATTTATTAAATTTTCTTTATTTCTTTTATAGCTTGACGCGTGATAGCCTTTCAATTCTAATAGAATGTGTAACCTTGTAAAAAAATTATTAGAAATTATCTTCAACAAGGATTATTGATGATCATCGGTCAATCGGGTTCTTATTAATTTTAAACTGAAAAAAAGCTTTTCGCATATAAATGTATTCCCTAACAACGCGATTAATCGTAGTGCAAAAATTTGTAACTGAGCTTATATATCTTTTGACAAGTTAATAAAACCTGTGTCTTCAGATCTTTTAAAAAGATTTATATCACACTGCAAAATTACATAACTCCATTTATAGATATTACTTCAGCCAGTTAAATTCTTAGCCAGTTGGAGACCACTGGAATAGGAATGTCTCCGTTGAGATTCTAAGGGATGTCGGTTTATATTCACTAATGCGCTTAAATTACATTTTTAAGATTTAAAAACTTTTTAATGGTAAGTTATATCTTGGTGTGTGTGTGGGGGGGAGGAAACCAGGTCTTAGTTGCACATAAAAATATTATTTATTACATTTATTGCAATAAATTCTTTATCATTCGATGAATTTAGTTTAAAAATTGCGTATTTTAGCATTCATATTTATTAAAAGCCTCTCGCATTTCCCTTGCGCTTACGTAACTAGCTCAAATCAGAACAGATGAAAGTGAGTAAAACATGAAAAACAAGTTTTAGTTCGTAAAAACCCAATTTGGCGCAATTTGACTTGATTTGGCGAGATTCATACAGAGAGCGCTCTGATTGGTCAAAGAGTAACTTTTTGTTATGGCAACCCACCGGAGCTTTTCGTCAGCGTTTTGTACACAGAAATCTCGGTAGAAGTTAGTTTTCGAAGAGTGTGTACATACGTAAACGCAGGGGGAGGTATGCTACGTTGCTGAGCCTTGAGCTGAGCTTTGTGGACATTAATCCTCTAAAGGCCACCCTCCTCTGTTAGGTGACGTCGCGTCGTCAGTTTTAAGACTTGTAAAGTGCCGAGAAACATGTCCCAGCAACAGCAAGATGTCATCGAACAGAAAGGACCCAATCAGGTGGTGCACATTCGCAGTGATAGTGAAACTAAATTGGACGAACTCTTCAACGCCGTCATCCACCCAAAGGATTATCAGGTACCTTTAACGGTTCCTATGCGTCTTAGGAATTTGCCGCCTTCGTTTTTTCAGCAACCCGAAAAAGGATCGAAATCTGCGTCACATTCTCGGGAATCCAGCGCTGATGGTTCCAGTTACCCGCCCGGGGGTGGCTCGGATACTCCGTCCCAGCCACAAACGCAGCAGCAACTACCGAGTGGATTGCAGATCAATCATCCTAGAGCACACTCGTCTCCTGCGTCTTTACAACAGGCTTATAATAAAAGTATATCTTCCTCCCATCACCAGCATCCACGGCAGAGGAGCTATGGGGACCTGCTTGATGATGATGATAACACTCCCCTTCCTCTGGGGTGGGAAAAAGCAAAAACTTCTGCTGGCCAAACTTATTTTTTGAAGTAAGTAAAAAATTTCCCCCTACATCTTTTTATATGTCAGAAATCAATTAATTTATAAGGTTTTTCGGGGGGAGGGGTATCAAAGTGATTATGTGAAATTAGATGTGATCTCTTGTCAAAATTCTAATATGCCGAGTGTGCACATAATATAATATGTGGTAAAATTATATTATAATTTATTATGACTGTCGGATTACAATTATTAATCAGAGTTGTATATGCATCTGGAAATTTTGCACATTTAAAATCAAATTGCCTTCAAGATCAACTAATGACATTTTATTCAAGTTAATTTTATAGGGGAGTAAGTATTTCTTTCTTATAAAATGAAATACTGATTTGAAACTTCCAGTAAGGAATATATATTTAATGTGCTTAAGCTTACTGCAAGATTGTTTATGTTTAAACAGCATATAAAATAGACTTTGTCTAGAATATGCATAACCGTACAGCATATGCAACACAGGTATGTCAGCACAAATTTAATAAATTAATAAAATGGTATCTGATGTAAGGAATGGTTAGTTAAACTCAATGTTGTGCAATTTCTTCCAGTCAAGTAAATAAATGAACACAGTTTTGTATAGCTTTTAAATATGATTTCACATATTTCAAAAACATTCTGATGCTCTCTTTTCATTGATGACAATTCTGATCTGTATATCTAATGATTTTTTGTCGGATTACTCAACATGTTTCCATTTAAAATCCTAAACAAAATATCAAGTTTTATTTTGCCTGTTTTATATTCACATACACAGAAAGTGTTGTAGTCATAAGTATTATAAGCCCATATACTTCATAACTTTATAAATCAGTATATATATATAGAGAGAGAGATTCAAAGAGTTAAAGTAAATATATTAATTAATCATAATAAATTCCTTAATACTTGCATGAAAGCTGCTAAGTAATAAAATAATAATATATTTAATAATAGTAATAAAATAATAGCTAATGGATTGTTTTGTACATTATCTCCTTTGATAAAGGTACTAGAATTTTAAGTTGTCATTATTTTCAAATTTGAACTTTGGGCATTGTAACGGAACATCTCAAAAGTAGTTATACTATGGATCTGTTAATATTTTAGATCAAATACTGAGATTTTTCTAATCTTGGTTACCTTTAAATTCTAATCTCTTCATGAACATGTAAATATTAAAAATAATAATAATAATAAATCTTGGCCTTAATTTCAAAATTAAGCTTCATCGGAATAATGCATTACTTTCTGTACTTTAGGTTATGCTTCTGATATTTTATATTAATTTTTTTTATCTTGTGAAATTTACATAAATATTGAATGATGCACTAAAATATTAGGCATTATTGACTTAGGAACTGAAAGGATTTTCAAATCTATTTTTAACAAATTTAATGCATACTTATTATTTATATATTCATATCTTTATTTAAAAATGAATTATAAAACTAAAATAGAAAAGTAATTCATAAAAATGTAAATTTATTTCCTTTTTTCAATGTCTGATTGTTACAATTAGCTGTCCTGATGGCATATTACAGCTTTATAAGCTTGACTGATAAGCATTTTCAAATATGATATAAAATATTATAGAAAGAGTATATCTAAGTAATAAAACTCCATTGGATTTGGGGATCTTTTTCTGAAAATCAATTAGCATGAAAGAGTTAGAATTCTTTATTTTTGTTGATTTTAGTATAGTTAATGAAGATAATCTGAAAAATGTGTTATATTAACATTTAACACTAGAGTTTTATTTTTTGGGAATAGTGATAACAAGCTGGTTAAATCGCGTTAAGTTTCTAGTGACTGATTTCAAAAACTGCAATATTTTATTCGGCTTAAATAGTAATACCTAACTTTGCTAGTAAATATAATATTGCTCCCTATAAATGTTAACGAACAAGCAGAAATTATGTTAGAAAGCTTTATTTAAAATTAATTTTCTGTTAAAATAATGATCAGATTTCAACATCCCTTAGTAGGAGGAAAAACTGAGATGTTCCGTTACAATGCCCAAAGTTCAAATTTGAAAATAATGACAACTTAAAATTCTAGTACCTTTATCAAAGGAGATAATATACAAAACAATCCATTAGTAAATATATTATTATTTAATCCATTAGTAAATATATTATTATTGAGGTGCCTGTAGCATGGAATGAAGATCAAATTTCAGTACTTGATAAATGAGAGAGAGACAGCCTTCATCACAATATCATTAAGGAAATTGTATCACTAAGTTTTTTAATATATATAATATTTGATATAATTAATTCAGAATGTACACGTAGGCAGATTTGTAATATTTATAGATAATTCTATAAATAGATGTATATACAGGTGTAATGAAAGCTTAACTACCATGTTGCTAATTACAGTTGGTCTAATATTTTGTTTATATTAAGAATAATTAAGACTGTCTATATTAAGAATAAATAAGACTGAAAAATCTGTCTTATTTTCTCCTTTACTATATAGCCTGCCCCCCCCCCGCTCTCTATTCGCAACTACTTATTTTAAATTAATTAAATTGTAAGTCTCAAATTTTGCTGATTGCTGATTTTGGTTTCATGCTCATATAATTTCAATACAAAAATGTCTGATTAAAACACATTGAATTTTCATATTTGATCAGTACTGAAATCTTTTCAAATTTGAATAGTAATCAGGTTGACAAATTTTGTATTTAGAGTAAATTTGGCGCGATGCTTGGGCGATAAAGATTACAACAAAGTAGCTAGAAGTTTGATTAGCATAGCAAGGAGGGGACATAATTGCTAAAATGTTACGTCACTTCCGGATGTTAGTTTATGACTGCGGTAAAAGTTTTAAAGGGGTGGGAAATCACAACTGATACCGTATCAAAGAGTAATGAAATTTAACTTAGATGTGATGCTGAAATATTACTATAATAATAAAAATTCAGATATTTTTTAGTATGTAGATTTTTACTTTTACTTCCTTTTTCAATATATAGGAAGTAGTTCAAAATATTGCGATTCTTAATGGAATGAGATCTGCGTCACATATTGTACAATATACAGAATTTTCTTCTAAATTAACACCTGTCTGAAACTGAAATTAATCTAAAGTTAGAATTTTTTCCGGTTGATCTTTACATTATGGTAACTTGGCGATTTTTTGGCGAAAATTTGGCAACCAACTCTCCTACAGCAACCCTCTATTTTTTTTTCCCCGCCGCCATTTTGTCTTCACGAAGTAAAGACATGTTTCTTTTCTTCTTATCTAATGAACACTTCTTCCAACAATCTACTAGCAGAATTACACTTATGCTAGAAATTTTATCAAACAAAACTGCTTAATCATGACAAATATTCACTGCAAAATTGGGAAAAAGTGCACAATACCATACTCCTTACGCGTTTTTCAAAATAACACATACACATAAACCATGTACACGCCGACTTATTTTTACTTAAAAAAGCATCCCAGAATTGCACAAAAATGGCATTGCGCACACTCTTCACTATATCCATGTACACTGCTTTTTTTTTCATAAATTAGAAAAATTTCACGAAAATACATGACAATTTTCTCCAATCTTTTAAACCCGGTAAAAAGAACATATATATGAAATTACCTGATCGCGAAAAGTATTTACCCTTTACAAATATGAACATTTCCACATATAAATAAATAAAATATCCAAAACTTTACCTCTAAATCATCTATTACATTATACACGTCACCAACGAATTCATACCGCAAGTATTACAAATACTTAGTATCAAATATTTAAATTATTTCCATGCACGTTTATTTCAACTTAAAACGTAATACCAAATTCCTACAAACATAAATTCACAAATAACTATCATTTCATTAAAATATAATTAAATTCAAAACACTACTTAAAATATAAATGAGCACATACATTAAATTAATAAAAATTACCTTACAATCTGAGTACTGCTCACATTATTATCAAAGTCCCAGGTAGTAACCTTTATCGCCTCCAAAATGTCGCCAAACTACCAGTTACCATATTGTAAAGATCAACCTTTTTTCCTTACATCTGTTACAACATTTTTATTTTTATTTAAGAATTTCTGAATATTTTTATATCATTTTGAATATTAATGTTGCAGAAAAATTTATTCTTTTTGTTGTCAGTTTAGCTGCAGCAAGTAAAAGTAGGAGGTACATTATTAATCACAAATTATTTTCTTCTGAGAAATAAACACGTTTACATCTGATTTGAAAATTTATTTCTTTAAATTCATAGTAAGAATTGTGTGTTATATTTAAATTCGATTATTACAGTATTCTCTAATTTTACAGTATTTTAACATCCAAGTGAATTCTGCAGTCTTTTGTAACTGATTGGAGAATTTTTTTATTATTTAACCAACTTTCAATGTAATCATTCAGATCAGGATCTAAAGTGGAACATTTCTATTTGATTTTTATAATTTGCATGTTTTTTTGTATGTCAAGGTTCCATTTTATGTATATTGGCAATCAGACAAGTAAATAGCTAGTCAAGGATGAGCAATTCGATTTCTTTGCCTATCCGTTGTGCAAACAAAATCTGATATATATTTTCTTTGACCTTATTTTTAATACGGATTAACGTCATTCGCTGAAGAGCAAATGCCATCCTTCAGCGGCGAAACTTTTAATATTCAAAATAAACATTGTATCAAAATACTCTTTGATAATGTTGTGTAACTGTTGCATACATGAAATGAGAACTAAATTTAATGGAATTTAATCGTTATTTATAAAAAGGAAAAGACTGGTAAAAATATATATATTGAACATTTATGTATGTTGTTAATTTTTAAAGTTTTTCTATTCCCGAAAGTTAAGGAAATGGACGTTAAAAAATGGTTAAATGAGTGTTCTCAACCTTTATATATACGTATATTGTGTTAATTTGTAGGGAATTCGTGGAAGGTAGTTCTTTTATAGCTTGAGAGTTTTCATTTTACTGGTTTGTGACTGCAAAATACACAATATTCTTTATGAAATGACCCAAGTTTTAAGA